GGGGGGGGGGCGGTTAGAGACCCTTCCTTGCAGTCCTAGGGGGAAGGGCGCCCTTGGATCCCAGGAGGACTGTCTTTGTGCCTCCAGCCGAGGCCCTGATCCCCCCGGGGGCAAATGTCACGTGAGCAAGGGCTGCCACTGTCAGTTGTCCTAGGAGGAGTGCCAGGCCTGGGTATCCCAGCAATTCTTGGCAGGGAGGGAGTGGCTCGGCCTAAGAGGCTCCTCCTACCCCAGAGGCCGGTCTTCGTTCATAGAGGGATCTGTCCGTGTTGCTCAGCCAAATCCATTCCACCTCCCACCCCGGGGCTCGGGCTGGTGCTGGGCCTGGGGCTGGCAGGGACGCTGGGCAGGTGGCAGCCTGGCCATATTTGGTCTGCCTGAGGGCTGACTGCGCGGCTCTTCTGGGCAAGCCGCGAAGGGGGCAGGGACGGTGGGTGGGCCGCAGCAGGGCTGCCCAGCCCGCAGCCCGCCCCGCCGCTCAGGCCACAGACGCCAAGGGCGGCCAAGCCCGACCGCCTGCGGGCGGGGCGGAGAGCGTTCGCGGGGCGCTGTGCACGCTCGTGGGCGCGCTCCGGCGGGAGCACGCGCCCCCTCGTGGATGCTGGGGTCCGCACAGGGGAGGCCGCCGGCTAGAAGGGCCGGCCGGGCGGGGCAGCAGGGGGATGGGAGCCAGAGGGGAATGGAGGCCGGGGGCCCTGGAGGTGGGGCACGGGGGAGAGCCGGGGCACCAGCATCTGCAGGGCGCCCTCCCCTCCATTCGCTCTGATCCCCTCACCCAGGGATGACTTTGCTACGCTCTGCCGCCTCTCTGATCTGATGCAGCAGCCACCTCTTTTTCTGGCGCAGGGCTGAAGCGGCCCCCCTCGCCCCCAGAACTCCCTCCTCCCACGGGGTGCTCCCCACTCAACTGGGCGTTGGGACTCCAGGGGAGCCCGCTTCTGGCTTAGCGGGCCCAAGGATCAGCTTTCTTTAAAGGCCTCCCACCCCACCCATGTGAGCCCCATTCACTGCCAGGTATGGGAAGCATGGGTCTGCCCAACACCCACCATCCAAATGTCGGTGGCCCCGGAGGGCCTGCCCCCTTGAATGTGGCCGGAAAGGGCATGTGGTGTGCCCCGGCCCCATCAGACTACACTTGGGACCCAGAGCACCTGGCTGCTCCTCACCTGACCACGGCCCCCAGCTCAGGTGTGAAGGGAAAGCCCTGAGGAGCCTCTCAAACCGGCTCAGCCCAGGTGGGCTGGGTGGCGGCAGCTGCCCAAGCAGTGAGACTGTCCCGGGAACGCAGAAACTCTGGCCCCAAAGCCAGCACCTCGTCAGGCAGTCTACAGAGCTTTGCTCCAGGCTAGACTGGGCCTTGGGAATCAGGGGGCTGGGAGGCTGCTCTCTGGTACTGGGGGAGGGGGGTGGAGGAGAGCTTTTTCCTGGCCTCTGTTTCTCACCTGTGAGCAGGGCAGGATGTGGAGAAAGGCTGGGGCGGGGTAGCCTTTGGTAACGGGAAGGAGAGACGTGTGGATTTCCTCCAAAGGGCACTTGGCTGAGCAGGGGCCTGGAGGTGGGGACTGGACAGGGACGAGAGGGCCTGGGAGGACAGGGCTTCATCCTGGGCCAGGAGGCAGGAGGCAGGAAGGGATTGCAAATAGGATTCCCGCGCGAGGAGTGCTGTGGGGTGAGCGCAGGGCCAGGTCGGGACAGGCTGTCTCCCAGGCAGGGCTGTCCAGGGCCTCAGCTCCTGTCCCAGGTGTCCTGGGGGAGGCCAAGAGGGGGCCAAGTGCTGCCCCCAAGCTCCCCCCACCCCCAGCCCCACCGAGTGAGCGGGGTCAGGATGCTGGCAGGGAGGGAATTCATGGACCCCTGCCTGAGATGTCTCTGACTCAGCAGAGAGGCCCGGGAAGCGTCATTTCCATGCTGCTTGTCCAAGGCCATCCTTGATGAGTTGGTGGCGTCCACCAGGGCTGGACCGGGTCCTCCCTCCACCTGTCTCTATGGGGCAGAGGCCTGGCTGGCTGCCCACTGGGCGCCAGGATCGGGGAGCAGGGAAGAGCTGCAAAATTAACACTCACTGCACACCTTACCCTCATCCCCCACATCCGTCTGTCCATCTGGGAGCAGGGAAGAGCTGCAAAATTAACCCTCACTGCACACCTTACCCTCATCCCCCACATCCGTCTGTCCATCCCCCCCACCCTGACCTAGACCCAAGCCAGCACAGACGCACTGCCCCCAGCCCCGGGCCACGCTGCCCACCCTAGCCCCGCAGACAGTTCAGCCTGGTGGTTCCTGTCGTTGCTCCTAGCCCACAGCGCACGGAAGGCACTCATTAATGCTGGGCCCTGTCCAAGTGGCCACACTGACTACTGGGAAGTGGGTGGGCACTGCCAAAATAAATGCAGGAACTCAAACCAGTAGTTATGCGCACACTGAGTCTGTGAAAACGACCGCTAGCATGCACCCACCTCTGCTCTCCAACCACCCTTCCAGGTGGCAGCCCTAGCATGCCCCTTTTACAGATGAGGAAACTGAGGCACCGAGAGGCACACAGCCTGAGAGAGACCCCAGGCTGGCTGGAGCCCACGCCCACCGAACCCCCACCCACACTGTGCGGTCTCTTCCCCCACCCGCCGGGGGTCCTGGGGGCGCAGTGTCTCCAAGCAGGGGAGGGGGAAGCCAGGAAGGGGGCTTATCCGTCTAATAGGATCTCAGCACCTTAAGGACTCATAAGAGCATAGGGCAGAAAAGCTTACAAAGAGAAGATCGGAAGCAGAGATTTGAGAAGCTGTGAGGGTTAGAGTCAAGTCTGGCCCTGCAGCTGGGCGCCGGGGAATGTGGTGGAGTCAGGGGGGAGGGGGACGAAAAGGCAGGGGGCGCTGCTGGCACCACTGGGAGCTGGCCCGGCCCTGACCACCCTCCTCCTGGCCCCACTCTGCACAAAAAGACGAGTCCTCGATACAGAGAGCAGCACAGGGCTCATGGTGGCCCGTCTGCAGGTCTAAATTGGAGGCCTGACTGTGTCTCGGGCACAGCCACTTGAACACACCTGGCCCCTGGGGAGCAGGACATCGCATGTGCTCCACGGGGTACAGAAAAGCCACAGAGAAGGGGCTGAGCTGGCCGGCAGAGCTGAAGGCAGGTGGACTGCATGAGCGAGGTGAGCAAGAAGGCAGGTGTGCGGAGCTGCGGCCACGCCCTACCTGCAGCCTCTGGAGTATTGGGTTTGTGGCTATGAACCTGTGTTTTACTCATGCTTTTAAAACTCTGAAAAGGTCAAATGAGATGGAGCAGCCCTTTCTTCATGCCACACCTTCCTGAGCAGGATGAGTGGGTCCTGCAGCTCTGGTGACCTGGGGCCTGTCAACAGGACCCTGAGACTCAGTTGTTCCGTCTGTGAGATGGGACTGACAGCTCCTGAGGCCCGGTGAGAATTGGCGAGGTGTAGGTGCCCAACCTGGGGCAGGCCGGGCACACAGGTGCCTCCCTCCGTCCGACTCCCCACTGCCCCTGCCCCGGGACAGAGTTCCTCCCTAGGCCGTGGCTCCCTCCTTGCTCTCCCCCCAGCCCCAGGAGAGGCCCCACTGGTATTTTTGCATAAATGAATGAATGAATGAGTGAGTGAGAGAACAGCTGGATAGACCCACCGGCCCCTCTCCTCCCCACTACAGGGCTTAGCTCAGGCCTCCTCTTCCTGTCTGGTTTGGCTGGCCGTCCTGGCCTCCTTAGTTCTCAACTCCCGTCCACCCTGGGTCATGCAGGCGGCAATTCTTCAGCTGCTGGTGGAGAAACTTCCTGTTCCTCCAGTCCTGACCTCACGATCTAGCCCAGGACGGAGAAAAAGGGCAGAAGACTCCAGAGGCTTACCAGGCCCCGGGTTCTGCACCCCCAGGTACTTGGGAGAAAGGCTGACCCACTCACGTGCCCACCAGCTCCCTTACAGGGGCAGGAAGGCTGGGGGTGCAGGATGTGGGTGGCAGGGACCCCAAAGTCTCCGTCTCAGACCACTCCTCTGGCTATCTGACCCCAGCACCTCCCCTTCCTGGGAGGGGAGCCCTTTTCTGCCAGCCCTTCACCCAGGACCTCCCCCAGTCCTGGTCCCTCCCAGCCCTAGCACCTGGAGCCCACCAGGCAGAAAGGGGATAAAGGCACTCAGGCAGCCAGTACAGACCCCCAGGGTCCCTGGGTGGGCAGGGCCGACCCCCTGCAGATAGACCCCTGCAGCCTCCCAGCTCTCAGCAGGATGGTGTGGTTGGCGGATCGCTCCTCCCCCACCTGCTCCATCTGACCCCACTCTTGGGCTCCTCCCCCAACCTGCTCCATATGACCCCATCCTTGGGCTCCCCCCAACCTCCTCCATCTGACCCCATCCTTGGGCTTTCCCTGACCTGCTCCATCTGACCCCATCCTTGGGCTCCCCCCGACCTGCTCCATCTGACCCCAT